GTCTGGTAGATCGTATATGGTGGGTGCTGTTTTCTTAAATGAAGCACTTCTGGTGACTTCCCATATAGTGGTACTAATTTTATCTCCCTTGCGAGAATAATAAAAGACTTTGTCACTTCCCAACCAGGATTTAGATTGGCAACAATTTCCATTATGAGTTGAGTCCTCTAATTCGTGCCATTTTCCCAGTTATCTACTTTGCTCATTAATGTTAATAATACACCAAACATTGTGCAAATGCTCGTAAACTTTACAACAAATTATTTTTATTGCAATGTTTTATTTTAATCTGAACATAGACAACACGTTGCATATACTGATGTTATACACTTGTGAAAAAAAAACACGAGAGATTTTAGAAAGTATGGCAGACGATTTGGAAGTACGTGAGTTTAAACGTTAATGACAAATAAAAAACATTCTGAACTTAATTAAGTTATTTTTGTATGGAGTCTAAAAGCAGATTAAAACACTTTATCAACTTGAAATGTATAAACTTTCGATAGTGCGGTAGCTGGCTGCTTGGGGTTTTGTGCTTTTGGGCCTATGGTCAGCAACCGTCATTAAAAATAAACTTGTTGGATTGTGGAAGCAATATATTTGTCATTTCACCTATTGCGAACAGAATACGTAGGTTTATAATTTATATTTGGTTTAGGATGGAGGTTTACAGGACAAAAAAACTTGGCCAGATCATTATGTGCCTGAACCAATGAATCAGTTTTGAATCAACCTTTCGGAAAGGTTGGTCAGTCGTCGAATCCCCGAAGGCTTTTTTCCCAGCTGCCATTCGCCGTTCTGCTGTTCACTGTGAGGACACCAGCAGGAACTATGAATGTTCAGCTTAAATTACTGGAAGCATTTTGGCCCAGCTTAAAAATATTGTTTACAGATACATCCCACTTGACATTATGCCTGCTGCAACCTCGACTCTTGAAGTAATCTGGACACAAAAAGCTTCACGCAAATCTTGCCACAGAGTAACACGTCAAGTGCCCCTCAAATGCGGCTAGTCTGGCTACTCAATGAGGCAACAGTTCCACATTTTGACAATTATGATAATACTGGCTTTCCTCAAAATGTTATTAAAAGGCGCCGTTTCCCTGAAGGCTATATGCAGCTAACCCACAGCCCTGCGTGAGTTGAGTTATATTTGTAAATTTTCATTGTTGGGTTCGATCGCGTAAATATAATTGTGTCGTTAAACCCACTACCACCCGACGCAGTCAATTAGTAAGGTGTGTCACGTAAAAAAAATTGGCATGTTTTGTTAACATGGCAAACCTTACTAATTTACGCAATCTAACCCAAGAACTCGTATGGATAATATTGGTTGCGAAAGCCTACGTGTTATAAACTGTTTAATCTCCATAGCTAGGCGAGAGGCCACAGAAAGTGTGCATGTGCCGTGTTTCACGGATGACCAGGAGGGGGGGGGGGAGATGAAATGCACTCACGTCACCGTGTACAGGGAATAGTTTTGGCGCTCTGTAAGAGAAATAAAATACATGGCTTGTACAGTGCCCAGGACACGTGGCGTTAATCACTGGAACGCCGCCCAGTGTCACTTTATTCAGTTTGATGAATGACCTGATGCAGAAAAAATTCTCACGAGGAAGCGTTCGGCGATTGCAACCCACGCAAGCGGAGCATTCGTTTTGGAATGCAGTCGGCTTTGAAATGCGCTCACCTCAAGCAGCCTGTGGGATTTTTTTTTCTATGGTTAACTTCCCCCCCCCTCCCTCCACACCCATGCAGTTTTAGGTGACTTTCGACTCCGAGTATAAAAGCATTTCCTTTCCACAACTGGGAGAGCTGAGTGAGGGGTTTTGCCCTCTTTGTCCATTTCGACTGTATCACGAGATAAGAAGACGTCTCCTACCAATATTTGTCTCCATGTGAGACGAAAATGTGTTCCTTTGAATTTGCACACAAACCCGTCTTCTGGCAGTTCATCTTATCAGCAGTAATGGTTAAATAAAAGCAAACTTTAGACTGGTTTTTCAACATTCAGTGTCTCATTAAGAGTGGGTGGTTTGACTCATCACCCACTTC